AGACTAACACGGCTACCCCTCTGATACTTATCCATACTGTGTCTTTGTTCAGTAATCGCCTCAGAGATTCACACATCTCTGAGAGACTTAGACATTTTTTGTCAGATACTTTACAATCCTAATAGTCTCTGAACTGATTTAATATTATTAAGTGTGGGCAACAGCTGTATTGCTTTTACCTCTTTCTCATCCGGTTGTAGCCTTGGAAAGCCAGCAAATGTCTCATATAGTGTCCTATAATTAATCACATTTCATCTTATTTGTATTCAGTTTTAGATTTATTTCAATTCTAGCAGACAGATGAAGTTGTGGTCATGATCTACTACAGCTTCTGGCATGCCACCTCTGTGTCTGTAAACCAGAATGTCATTAGTTATGACATTGATCCCTCAAGTCTTGTTAGCGTATCTTGGTGGCTTTGGGATGCTTCTGCTCCGTGGTTAATTCCAAATGGCATTCTCAACCATAATGATCTACCTGCTTGTCTCCAAAATGTGGTGAGGTAGCTGGTTTCCTTACTGAGTAGCACGTGCCAATATCCATCTTTGGCATCAAGTACTGAGAATATTTTTGCTTTTGCCAAGTCAGGTAATATTTCTTCAGTTGTAGATATTTGGCACTGAGCTTTTTTTAGGGCTTTGTTCAGGTTGCTTGGATCTATGCAAATGTGCAGCTTGCCTGGTTTCTCAATGGCTACCATGCTGCTTATGCAACTTGTAGACTCTCTGACTTTAGCAATGACGCCTTCTTATTCCATTTATTTTATTGCTTCTATTAATTTTTATTTGAAGGCAGTGGGTATTCTGTTAGTTCTGAAGACCCAGTATCAAAAGTAGGGAACAGTTATTGAACCCTATTCTGAAGTCACCTGCTAAGCACTACAGGACAGGGCCATTGTGTCTGTTGCTGACTAGAGTTGTGCTCAAAATTCTTAGCACTGATTATAAAGTGATATTTTTTCTTACATGAGAAGCCATTTTTACATTTGCAAGGAATTATACCTCAGGAAAAGTCATAAAAATCCCAGATTTTTGTCCAGAGTAGAGAATGTCTTTGCTTTCATCATAAAACCCCTGTTAGATGGTAGAAATCTTGAAATTATGAATACTCCTGAAAATATCAGTTTACTTACATGAAAATGAATCTGTTTTTCCATAGCTCTGTTGATCTTTGTTGACTCTGTTGCGAAGGTCTAAAAAAGGTTCCCAAGTCTGAAGTGTATGGAGCTCTTACTGGTGGTCTTTAGAGAGCTAGCAGGCCATATGGTGCTGCTTCTCCTATTTGTTTCCAGCAGCTAAATTTAATTTAAAACAAAATCCCCATTCCTAATGTTACTTGTCCATGTAAGTGATTGCTGTACTGTTGTAGGGATGTTTTGCCATCAGGAATGGGAAGGTCGTCTCCCACAAACTGTAAATGGAAAGGCAGTTGTTCATGAGTCATTCTATCAAGATGTAGTTTGCAATAGGAAAACATATGAAAGACCTGTTACAGTTCATGCAAAGATAGTTGTACACCATTTTTTCACTCTCCCCCATGGCTGTCAGTGACTGGTGAGGAAAGTATGCTGCTGTTATCCTCTATGTGGGCCAGTCCACACAGGGAGTGCAATACTCGCGTTGCAAAAGGGTTATACTGTTTTTTTGTTTTGTTAAGAGGGCAGTTTTATGATCTAGTGGTTACAGACAGCTGCTTTTTAGGACATCTGTGAAGACTGAACCCAGGACATCTGGGTATAAAAGCATGAGCATTTGTTACTTGAGCTAAAGAGCCAGGTCTCTTGGCATGCACAGTAATAAACCTCTATATGTGCTCTAACGGCTACTTAAACTGACATATTTCTTATGAAAGTGTATGTGGCAAAATGGCTAAGATTTGGGCCTATTATACTCCAGGAGTGGGCTCTATTCCCAGCTCTGTCTCAGATGATCTTGTGTAAGCTCACTGTTTTCTTTGCTCTGAAATCATTAAAAGATGGTTTGAAACCTTGACTTACAATGAGGGTGGTGAAGGGCACAGAAATATTCTCTGGCAGACAGTGTATCTTTTTGCCCCATCCTGTTTCCTCTCCCCCCCTCCCCCCTGAAAAAATTGTGTAAATGCTGAAGCTTTTCACAAGACTGCCTAGAGCTTTGGCCATGATCACGTTATTTGCAAGAGATGGCAAAGGAGGTGGTATTTTGGAGTAAAGTATAGTTGTACATGAATTTTCTGTGGATTGAATTTTAAAACAAAATCCTAGCTGTTGTTTTCCAGGGAGGGCTCTCCACGTGTCTGCAGGAGCTTTCAATGTCTGTTTCCCACTTTCTCTCCCTCACCTCCTCCCACACCACCTGCACATTCTCACCCAGGACATCTCATATCATACGCACCAAACTCTCCTTGTGCTGACAAGGGAAACTGGACTGCACTTGAGCAGAAACAGTCGGGGCTGCTCCTCTGTGCAGCCTAGCAGTGACCTCTCTGGGTAACAACCTACTGCCCTGCTATGGGCTGAGCATGCTGCCTCTACAGCATTTTCACCCACTTCTTGTTTCCTATATGTATTTTATATGTAATTGCTTTCACTAAAAGTTAATAGAAATTCTCTGGCGGATTGTTCCCGTTTATATTGTAGGCATGTACTCAGTGCCTCTTGAGCATAGACAACTGTCAATCAGCTGGCCCGTCACCTCGTTCATTAATTACAAAGTGTAGATAGCTGTTTAAGGCTTACAGACTGCTTGGTTGACAAGGGACTGTGCATGGGGTCCTTCCTGAAAAAAAGAAACAGGGACCGTTGGTTTTTGCTTTATTAATTTCTAAAATGGAAAAAGTGTATCCTAAAATGTAAAAGGCCTGATTTCCAAGTGGGGCTTAGAACCAGAACTCTCATTGACTTCAGTGGGAAGTTTGAGTGCTCAGCATTTCTGAAAATATAATCCTCTTACACCCTGATAAAGCTGGTCAAGTTTCCCACTGAAACGTTGTGGATGAAAAATGGCATTTTAATTAAAGTAAGATTTTTGTGAAAAAAATTATGATTTCATAAAATTAGAGGGGAGGAGATTCCAGTTGCTGAAACCCACAATTTTTTATTTTTATTTTCAGCTTATCAGTTTTTCAACTAAAACCTCAGAAAGTTTAAGAAAATTTTCAACAAAAAATGGAAAATCATTTCCCAGCCACCAGTGGGCTGTGATCCTGCAATGAGCTCCATGCAGGCAGCCATGATAGGCAGCTCCACTGAAGTAAGTGGGGCTACATACACATGGTGCTTGTTGCAAACAACCTGGAGTAAGGGCTATCTCATGTCAGTCTTGGTTTGTTCAGTGCCTAAAATTATCTATAGCCTACCCCAGATTATCTGTCTGTATAGGGCGCCAATCCTGATCAGAATGTCTGGGTGCTGCCATAATATAAATATTCATGGCTTGATGTTGTTAGCGTTTAAGGTGTTCTGTGTGGCAGACTAGGTTTTTAATTATTTATAATTAATTAATATTTTAAAAGCTTTTGAATTGGAAAGACCTCCAGTGCACTTTGGAAATTTGTGACGTAACTCAGTGCCGTAGCTTTGTTAAACTCTCTCTTTTTTTTTCTTTTTCACTTGCGCTCCTACTACATACCAATGGCCAAACCAGTTTAAAGTGAGAGAGAATGTGAAGAACTCCAAAAAGACCTAACAGGATAGCTGATGGAATTCAGTGTGTAAGATAATGCACGCTGGAGAGAACAATTCAAATTACAGGTACACACTCCGTTATCCCTCTCAGGGTAAGAGACCTACATCCTCCCATACTGACTCTTGTCAAATGAAGAGGACTTGCTTAAGATGGAAGTCCATTCTATGTGCCACCATGGCTACTTCATAGCCAGGTGAATCTGCTGCTGCTGCTCCCACTTGTTAGGTTTCGAATTAGCTGTAACATCTTAGGAAAAAGATCTAGGTGTCATCATGGACAGCTAGGTAAAGACATCTGCTTAATGTACAGTGGGACTCAAAAGAAAGTGAATCAGATGTTAAACTGTGTTAAGCAGGGGACAGAAAATAAGTACCCTGATGATGCCCAGTGCCTTCCGTTTGATTTCAATGAAAGTGGTAGGCACTTATCACATTGAAGGATCGTGTATAAGACAAGAGACATAGCAAAAATAGTAAAAGTCAAGAAGGGGGCAACAAAATGGATTAGAAGTTTAAGATTGGAGGGAAGGCATTCTACATATGGAGAGACTAAAAACACATTGGGAGACTTTAAAAAGTACTTAATCTGGAAAGGAGAATTATGTATAAAAGAGAAATATAAGATAATAAATGGTAATATAGACCTCATTTGATTGCTTTCATTTGTTCTATCCCTTACAGCACAAATAGACAATTGAAATAAGGAAATAATGATATTGAATAATAGGAAATACTTGTTATTGCAAAGTATAATTAACCTGTGGAACTCACATTGTGACGAGAGAATTTTACCTCAGTTGCCCGGAATACCTTATCAAGTTCTGAATGGGAAAATCTACAGAAAAACCTTGGAAGGGGTTTAAATTTGCTGAAATTAAAAAATTGCTTAATTGAACATAAAATACATGGTGATAGTATGAGGACGCTTTGACATGCTTAGAACAATCAACAGTTTTAAGAATAAAGCTTTAATTAAATAAAAATTAATAATAGTTTAAATGAGAAAATACAGTAATGGCGGCGATAGGGTTATGTAATGTAGTGAGATTAGCAATTAGCATATGCTAATTTCTGGAAACTGATTGGCTGATCTTGAGTGTCACATGTCGATACACGTGCCATAAATATGCAAATTCCTGAGGCAGCAGCCGTCAGGTTAAAGCTCTGAAGGGATAGGGACCAGCAAGAGAGCGGAACACTGTCAAACACCTATAAGAAGATACCTGCGCAAAAGAAGCCACCTGAAAAGCTGAAAAAGGAGGAGCTGCTTGAAAGCCAGCTACTGTAACAGAAGCAGTGCACCCCCAGGCTCCAGGGTTGCCTTGGCAACGGCCGTTCCCGGCACCCTGCCAGCAGGAGGCCTCCACAGCAGCCCGGGAGCAGTGCCCAGCAGGCTTCTGTATCTCTCACTGGAGGAGCAGCTTTACCTCCGCGACAGCAGACAGCCACCCAGCGCAGCACTGCCCACTCGCCACAGCAACCAAAACATCTATGGTCATCGCTCTCGAGCAACAGACAGAGCAGAAGGACCTTGACTAGACGATTCCGAGGGATTTTCTGTAAGTTAACTGTAAGTTAAAAATCTTTTTTTATTTGACATCCTGAAGCGTATGGGTCTCAAGTTTAAATAAAGCTGGATGTCCGTGGTTTGAGTGAGATCTCCCTACCCATTTGGTACCTGTTAGGCCAGCCTGTTGTTTGATATATTGTTACATGTTTAATTGATATATTGTTACCTCTCTACCTCGATATAACGCCGTCCTCGGGAGCCAAAAAATCTTACCGTGTTATAGGTGAAACCGCGTTATATCGAACTAGCTTTGATCCACCGGAGTGTGCAGCCCTCCCCCCGGAGCACTGCTTTGCCGCGTTATATCCGAATTGGTGTTATATCGGGTCACTTTATATCAAGGTAGAGATGTGTATATATAATAGATATTGTTGCAAGGTATAGAGTATTAAGTATATGGTTATTAAACTGTAATTGTAGTACCGTGGCTTTATTTCTCGTGCTGCTTCCTTTACACTGTATCTGTAACTGTTACTGTTATTTTATTATTTTTATTTTTACCTATATCTCTCCTCTTTTATTGTAACCTTTTACTTTCGAAATAAATATTATTTTTGTTTTTGAAGAATTTACTGCTTGCTGCCTATTCTTTATCGGAGGGCTGTATCTGTGTCCTTCAAGGGGAAAGTTAGCTGGCCTTGGTTAGCGAATTTTCTCTGGAAAATCCATAGGGCGGGCCACAACCTTTAATACTGGAATAGGCAAATTGAAAATAAAGGGTTTTAAATTAAAAAGACAGTTGGGTTCAAATCTTCCGGTAACAACATCTGCAAGATATCACTGAAGACCATAGTTCAGAGATACAAAAAAATTAGACTTTTAAATGAGTAAGAACAGTATCTAGAATGATACTAGCTAGGATGTAGAGCCATGGCAGAAAGTAGAGTCTCTTTAGTAATTGAAATAGTGGCACTGTTGTCTATACAGGAGTGAACTGGATGAGAGATCAGAAGTGTTGCTCTGAAAATACCATGCAATATGATTGTTTTGGCTTGAAATTCTGCCCTGTGCAGAGGGCCAATAAAAGGTTTTATGTGCACCTCTTAGGCCCCATTTAAGACCTCAAATTATGGCTTAAGAGGAGAATAGGTCTCCTGCTGGCCCTCTGCATAGGGTGAATTTTATCTGCTGTGTTTTTTCATAGTTCAACTCACTCTGGTCTAACATGCAAAATATCATTTTGGAGGGTGCCCTCTTTAGTGTGAAGTTTTATAGTCATAATGTGGGGAAATTCCTCTTGATCACAGACTTTTATGGAGGAAGCAAAATACAACCAATTACATCTGATTTGTCTGACATTTTAGATTCGTAGAGATCTTGGTATGAACTAGAGAAAATACTCTGGACTATACAGCCAGTCTTGACACCCTGTACATGTCCTCCTCATAAAAGCATTTCTTTGTCTTCATCCACACTGTTGCCTGTGTCTGAAATGAATTCTCCAAGCGTATCTCTCAACCCACAACCCTCAGGTCATTCAAAATCCTCCAGAAAATTCACTTCTGTCATGAAGTCTACAAGAAAGGAACTGGTTAAATTAAAATCTTGCCCTTAAAAATATTATTTAAGGAGAAGTATATATGAACTAGTACAGTCATTGTCATCATCTTATTTTTGTTCCCCATCCACACCTTCTGCATCTTTAATCTTCCTTTCCCCAACTTGTTTATGTTATCCCTCAATCATATTCCAAATGGTAACAACCTCCGGGCAGTCCTTCACATCCTTACCTGAATGTTGTCCTGAATGTGAAGAATGATGTTCTTTCTTCTCTACCATGTAACTATACATTTTCAGAAGTCCCTAGTAATTTTGAGGGGCCTGATTGTCAGAGAATGGGTGCTCAATTCTTTCTAAAAATCAGGCCCCTTTGAGGTGTCTTAGGTTGGGGAACCAAAATCATACACTTTTGAAAATGTAGGGCCATAAGTTTATGCAGTAATTAAACTTTTCTTACAGATAGTTTAAAAAAGCTTTTATAATAAGTAAAACCTTATTTATAGCAAAAAAGCAGAATACTGTTCCTGCTCTCATTGTAGTCAATGGGAATTTGTCTTTTGGATCAGGCCCTTATTGTATTTCAGAGACACAGTGTTGGATTTCAGTGTGAACTGCTGCAAAGTTTGGATTTGAGGTTTTGGTTTGAGTCTTTCTCTGCTGTATTTATATATCCAACAATAGTTTTACTATAGACTGCAAGCCAGCAAAAAGGAAACCCAACCCAGGAATACAGTGAATATGGAAGGGCATAGAACTGCCTCATGGACCTCATTGGTAAATTGCTGTAGTTTATAGCTGTTGTAATTCTATTGGGTGCAGTGATAAGAGGTGCATAAGTCATATGGTCATAAATTATGTCCCATATGTTTCCAATAGACTGGCCATTGTGCTTTTGAAATACAGCTGTTCATACAATGGTTGTTACTATAAGGTGGAAGAGTATACAAGGGAAAAGGTTAGCGCTGTAACGTATATGGTCCAGCTTGTTTTCTTCCTTTAAATAAAGGTAACCATCATTTCCTCATACAGTAAAGTAAATATTTTACTTACTCAGAAATGCACGTCATCAAAGCAATGAGGGTACTCTTTAGTCTTTTTTAAACAGGAAATTAGTGGTTCTCTGAGATCTCTCTGTTGAGTTGACTAGTTTAACAGAATGGGTACACAAATTATCCCAGGCAAAATTAAAATCACATAGAAAAATGAGTTAGCTCACAATAAATGGAAAATCAGAACATTAAAAATCAATGCCCTTTGTCCTCAGAGACCTGTGCTGCTACAATCTCCTGGGCTTATGTTTTTCTGATATTTCTCAGCAAATGGGATAATGAAGTGGTGTTCCAGGAAACAAGTCTTATTTTGAAATATGGCTTTAAGTTTCACAGAGATGTTTTCATCTGCAAAGCCTTGTTTGCTCTTGGTTAGCTCATTGTTCCTCCATTGCGTAGTGGGACACAGATATGGGAATATTAATATCTTATGTCCATCCAGGGAAAGGTCTTTTTTCACCCAGGCCTCTGCTAGCAGATGTTCCTTATCTCTTGCATTTTAGAGGATTGTTATTACTGCTGAATTATCATCTAGCTGTCCCTGTTTCCTTCAGATTAGGGATCCAGAAACAGTTATCTGCCTACATAGAATTTTCTTTTGGGTCCAGCCTCAATTGTTTAGGAATTTTATTTTAAACCAGACCACAAGATCAGAGTACTTAACATCTCCAGGATTCCCCAGAAGGTAAATTCTGGCAACATTTTCTAAGCCTTCTAAACCAGGGTCACTTCTAAATTATTGCACAACTAAGTGTTTTTGATTTCCCACTTCTGTATCCATTTTGGCATATGAGATTTCCTATTCACCCAGTCTACCAATGAGACCATCTGTCAAGATTACTTCTTTGTTCAGAGTTTCCAAGCTGTTTCCTAAAACAGACAAGATATTTGTTAGTTTGTTTAATTATGATTAAGCATACAAAAATCCTGATTATGTTGGCAGTGTTGCATGGCCTTCTTTTCTTCATGGCAATATCAGGGTTGCAATGAACATGAGTACAGTTTTTTGTGTGTTGTGAGCAGCTCAGTATAGTATATGCTAGAAACAGAGATATTTTGTTTTGTTGTACTTAAAAATGTATTTGAAAATAGCATTTAAAAAATCAACAGAGCGATGAACACTCATCTTCCAGTTATCTTACCCTACCACCATCACCCCATGGCATTTATACATCAAGTCTCTTTCCAAAAGGTTCCTCCTGAGGCCATAATACCAGCTTTCCACCACCTGGATATCCCACAGCACTTATCTGAAAGTCTAGATGCATGTATAAAAAAATCCCCAAAATATATTCCAAATCAAATATTAGTAGGACCCATGTTCATATTAAAACCTTCCAAAGACACCAGAGTCTACAAATTCTTTCCTAATCCTCACCCCATTCGCTCCCACTCCATTCCCCATGCACCCACCCAGGAAAGCACAGGAAAATAGATGAGGATTGGAAGTCAATAATTCAGACCCTTTCAGATCCACAGGTGAGGGAGATGCAAATTTCAGTCAAGAACCCATCACTGAAAACACCAGATCTTTCCCATTTAATTTGAAAGGTTGTTAGCTAGGGCAGGAGTTCTCAAACTTTTTCTTTCTGATCCCCTCCCTTCCCCCAACATGCTATAAAAACTCCATGGCCCACCTGTGCCACAACAGCTGTTTTCTGCGTATAAAAGCCAGCGCCGGCGTTAAGAGGTAGCAATCAGGGCAATTGCCTGGGGCCCCATGCCATAGGGCACCCCACAAAAATATATTGCTCAGCCTTCAGGCTTCTCCCCCATATCCTCTGCAGTGAAGGCGAATGCAAAGAATTCATTTAGCGTCCCTTCAATGGCCTTGTCTTCCTTAAGTGCTCCTTTAGCACTTTGTCATCTAATGGCCCTACTGTCTGTTTGGCAGGCTTCCTGCTTCTCATGTACGTTAAAAAAAGTTTTACTGTTAGTTTTTGTTCTTTAGCAAGCTGCTTCTCAAATTGTTTCTTGGCCTGCTTTATTATACTTGTACGCTTAACCTGCCAGAGTTTGTGTGCCTTCTTGCTATCCTCACTAAGTTTTGACTTGCAAATTTTAAAAGATGCCTTTTTGCCTCTAGCAGCTCCATTACTCTCCTGGCTAGCATAGTGGCATTCTTATGCTTCTCTCTTTTTTAATGGTTTGGGGTATATATTTAGTCTGAGCCTCTATTGTGGTGTTTTTAAATAGTCCCCATGCCTCTTGCAGGTATTTACACCTCCATAAACTCATTTTAACGTGTCTCTCAG